TGATGATGATGATGATGATGATGATGATGATGATGATGATGATGATGATGATGCTCTTGCTTCTTCCGCTGCTGCTGCTGCTGATGGTATACCCCAATTTTATGACATAACCCTCGCACAGAGCACGTGACAATCGCCGAGGTGACGCCGGTCAAAGACTACTACAGCATCGTGGTGTCCGCTCTGGGCCGCTCCGTGGACACCGGTGCCAGCATCACGTGCGAAGACGACGTAAAACATCTCCGCAAGGCCATGACGGAGAGGCACTGGGAGGACGAGCTCCTGAAGCCCGCCAGCCCCCTGGCCACGCCCACCGGAACCACAAGCTACGGCTCCATGCCCGAACTGACGTGCGGGGAGAGCAGCGTGGACCCGGTTCCGCCTCCGGTGATACGCAGCGTTCTGAAGAAGCGGGAGAGCTTCTCCTGCCCGGAGAAATTGGACAACCTGCACTCCAACATCGACAGCACGAAGCTGGTGAGAATCGCGCTGTTCGGGAGCCAGATCGACCTGACGGAGAGGACCAGGAGGGGGAGGAGGAGGAGCAGGAGGAGGAGGAGGGGGAGTGGGTTATGTCTACCGCGGGCCCTCGGGGAGTTCTGCGGCTACTTCCTGGTGTGCCGTGGGTGTAGAGCGCCGTGCACGTGCGTTACGGGAAGGCCGGAGGTGAAGGCCGCGCTCGTCCTGTTGGGCATAGTGTTGTCCTTTGTGGTGACGTGGACGCCGTTTGGTGTGGTGGTGGTGCTGCACAGCGGCGGAATTGTGGAGGTCCCGAGCTCACTCAGACTGGTAGGCTTTGTTAGTGAATTATACAGAAGTTTTGGTTGACAGAACATGGATGGTCTCATTACTTGCCCTACTAGAGTACTTTTTTTTTTTTACAGTAGAAGGTTTTACGGCGCTCGCAACTGCATAAGGTCATAATTATGAGCGCCATCTAGAATTCTTGAATACTTGAATGTAGAACTGGGGCCTTAGGAAGACGGGGTGCCCCATGCTTCCTCGCCCCTCTTCATAAGGGTTCATTTCAGTGTGGGCAGGCTGATTGTTTCCATCATCAGTTGGTTGT